AGAGTGCGGGTGGTTTCCAATACGTGGCTGTCGCTTTAGCGCGGCGCACATTCGCTTTAAACATTTGCACGAGTTTCACAGATTGAGGGCGGGTGGATTTCAAATTGTGGCTCTCGCCTTAGCGCGGCGCGCATCCGTTGTAAACATTCGCAAGAACTTCACGGATTGAGGTCGTTTTCAAAATGTGGCTCTCGCCTTAGCGCGGCGCACATTCGTTTTAACAAGTTGCAAGAATTTCACGGATTGAGGGCGAATCCTTTTCAAAGTGTGGCTCTCGCTTTAGCGCGGCGCACATTATTTTACAAAGTTTGCAAGAGTTTCACGGATTGACAGCGGCTCCTTTTCACAGTGTGGCTCTCGCCTGAGCGCCGCCCACATTCGTTTACAAAGCTTGCAAGAGTTTCACGGAATCCCATCATCAACGTACCAGAAATGGTGTTTTGAAAAGATTCAGGATTACGCGGGCGCAACAGTTTCGTTGATTCGCTGTGTTGAAGTCCCTGGAATGGCGTTCTGTTACGATTCAGGATCGTCAACACGCAACAGTCAGGTTGATCCGTGGCGTTGGAATCCCGAGAACCATTTTTTGGCATGCTTCAGGGTCTTCAAACGGTTGTCTTCCAACGAGGCAGTTCCCTCAATGGAAATAAACCTTTCTAGGGGACTGTGAACCCCCCACACTGGAAATAAATGCAGGGCAGATCGAGGCCTTCGAGTTGGATTGTGGTGTCTTGGTGGGCGGCGACAGACAGGTCCGTCGGCCGAAACCAGGACGAGGACCAGTTCGGATGAGGATACCTGCCGTCGCTGGGACGTTCACTCCCCGTGCAGCTGTTGGCTTCGCGCGCGCGCATTTCTTCGCAAGATTATCAAGGATGCTCCTCGAGGGTCCTCGCCGACAAAAGATGCTAGAAGAAGAAAAAACACCATGAACTTTTAGCGCTCTGCGCGGATTTCTTGGATCTGCGCTGAACCCCCCGCCCTGGCGCCCAGAGCGCGCCAGGGGCGGACCGGAAGCGCCGCCAGCAGGTCCCTGCGCGGATCCAAGTCATCCGCGCGGAGCTCCGAAAGATCATATGTTTGTGCCGTTTCCTCTTCTGGGATCGATGGTCCTCGCCGGGGAAAAACGCACGCGCCTGAGCGACGCCAAACAGCTCGGACGAGGAGTCCGGGCGGGAACCTCCGAGAGCTGGGCGAGCCTGGAGCCTGCCTCGGGCGCGGCGCGGCCCTCCCAGCGGGGGGGTGAGCACGCTCCCGGAACGCTCCGCGGGGGGCGCTCCTCGGGGAGCGGCGTGCCCTCCCCCCGGGGCCTGCCTGGCGCGGGGCGAGGGGCTCGCCAGCGCTCGGCCGTCCACTCCCCGTGCACGTGCGTGTTCGCTCTCGTGCCCGGCGGTCCTCGCTGGGCAAGAACAGGCACGCGCCCGAGCGGCGCCACGGGGAAGGGGCGGCAGGAGCCGGGCGGCACGCAGGGCGACGGGGCGAGGCGGCTTCGGTGGCAACTCCTGCGAGCCTCCCACACCATTGTGTCGGCTCTTGCGAAAAGACGCGAATCGACATTACGTCGACGCTACTCGACGCTACAAGACGCTAATCCGTGCTATCTCATCGACTCCCAAGCGCCGATCGACGCTAAGCGACGCTGAAGACGAAATTAAAGAGGGTATACCAGGCTCCCATGGTTTGCTACCGAAGGGCGGACCTGCTCAGAAGGCTCGGACGTCCCCAGGCCTTCAAGAGAGAAGTTTTCTGAGCCTTCCCCGAAGGCACAGAAAACCTCTCGGAAGGCGCGAGGGCCTCTGAGAAGTCCCACCGCCATCTGAGAGGGTACGCTGGGCTCCCACGACTGGCCACCGCAGACAGCTGGGTCGGGTGCAGCGTCCCCGCGAGGGGCGCCCCGTCAGGAGCGAGGGGGGGGCCTTTCTGGCTCGCCCGCCGAGGAGGCCTTCCTGCGCCAACGCCCCCACCATACGGCTCGGGAGGAAGACGGGCTCGGCTTGCGGAACGTTTTCTCAGTCGGCGTTTCGGCCTTGGGCGGAAGGGGACGCCAGGCAGGCGGTACTGTGGAACATGGGCGCGGCACCCGGGAAGATGGACGCCAGGCCGGCGGCACGGTGATGCCTACAAACGCATGACAAGCGCACTGAAAACCGAGAGAAGACAGGCAGGTGGGCCACGGGCCGATCCCCGACCTGAAAGCGCAGCAAGCACGGCGCCCAAGACGGACAGGAAGCGTCGATCTCGACAACAGAAGTCAACGTTTTCTTGTTCGGCGCTTCGACCTTGGGCGGAAGGGGAGGAGGATGGGGGGGGCTCCGGACCTCTGCTTGATGCGACTGTTTGCAGCAGTGCGTCCTATGGGGGACTCCACCTGCTTGAAACAGGCGCCAAAAGCAGCCAAGATCTACTCCATGGGGGAAGGTGGTGCGAGGGCCCGCGCCGATCGGCAAAACAATGAATTAGAAAACGATCACCTTGCGGAACGGCTCTGGTGTCCGAGGCGACCCTCTCGAGGGAAGACAGCGTGATGCGTCTGGAGGAAGAGATCCGGCATAGTACCTGTCAGCCAAGAAACAGATGCCAGGTTACATACGAAGATATCCTCCCCGTCCCAAGCAGGTCATGCTTGTTGTTCGCTTGGCTCCCGTTTTGAAGCAAGGCTCCACATCGACAGGCCTCTTCCCCCATTCGTCCTCGGCGCCCGAGCAAACGAAGGAAAGCTTGGGATCGCTTGGAATCTCCTGGGAGCAGCTCGAGGGAATCATGTGGAATTCCTTGGGCATGCCCTTCCCCCGCAAGAGTCAAGAATTTCAGCCAATTCGCTTGAAATCAGCAGAGGTATGCTCGTTGCGCGTCTGGCGCGCTCGTGGCACAATTATGGCTGCACTTGATCCGGGCGCGTCCTGCGGCCTCCTGTGCCGAACAGCGGGGGACGCGCCTGCTGGGGGAAGGGGAACCAGTAGCAGGAACTCGACTTTTGCACACCACTCCCGCAAGCAAGCTGGTCCGGCACAAGACCGTGGAGAGGGGGTTGAGCACAAGATTGGTATCCCCTCGGGACACGATTTTGTAGACCACCCCGACGAACAAGCTGATCCGGCACAAGGTACGCGCGCGGGGGCGGTGGCCATAAATCGCCACTCGAAGCAGCACTAGGTCGGGTATGTCCTCCTACAGGCGGATTCTGGCAGAAAAAGAAAAGTAGTCGAAAAAAGATTTTAGAAATAGTCAAAAACAGTCATCCGGCTATTTTTAGACTATTTTGGAGTACTCCTCCTGTGGGGGGACACGCCCGACTTGATACTAAGTAACACGCAAGACCAGCACCCGACAGCAGCACCGCGAGGAGCGGCAGAAGGTCCTCGCGGTGGCGCGGTGGGCCGCTGCCCCGCGGCGCCCAGCTCGAGAGAGCCGGCCTCCAGACCTCTGGCCCGGGGCGGCCTCGTAGACCCCCGCAGCCACTAGTGCCCCGCTGGCGGGTCCAGACATGTGGCGTCTCGAGAAAATCGGGACGGATGTGTTTCGTCGTTTTCGGCTTCTCGGGCCCTCACGGAACCCTCAGGGCTCGAGACAGTCATAAAGCGCCTCCGCCCAAGAGAGCGTGCAGCGCAATGAGCTCTTGGACCCTGCTGGCGTGACGTCCTTGGAGAACCAGTTGCTGGCTTTGCAGGCGATGACTGCTGAGTTTCCGACTCCTCTGAGCCTTGAGCGTGAGGTGCTGGCATGCGCCTTTTTTCGCAGCTAAGAAGGATGCGAATGAACACGTCTCGACTTTCAACTTTCACCCCCGGGGCGTCTTGTCCAGGATGGTCCCCCTGGTTGAGTTTGCTCTAGAGGCGGCGGGGGGGAAAGGCTTTCGACTGCACCACCAAAGGATCAACTCTTTGAACAATGATACAAACACCTTAAAACCCTTTCCCACCGAGACAGGCCGCGAGCCGCTTGGGGGACGAGGGCGCCAGCCACGCGGCATCCTGAGTGCTGCTGCAGAGCCCCTCGGCCAGAGCGTCAACTCATGGAGTTAACCCTGATGAGACCAATTTTCAGCAGCTCTCAGCCGCTTTCACCTGACTCGGCCACAGCTTTCAGCAGCAGGCGTCCAAATGCTTGCCACGAGGTGTGAAGGCACCCCGTGATAGTTCAGACAGCTGCCGTGCCGCTGGCAATGCGCTGACGATGAAGAACCGGTCCCAGGGAAGTGGTGTCGCGAAGTCGAAGGCCCGTGTCTCGAAAAAGATCGAGACGCCGGATGTCTGGGGGTGCCCAGTACATCCCCCCTCCGTCCTGCGAGGGGAAGGGGGCGGGCCTGGCCTTCTTGCCGTCAGACCACCCGATGCGCCAGTTGGGGAAGTCGGCGTTGCAGTCGAAGGGGTCGACCACGCAGCCCATCCTCTCGAGCTCGCAGCAGTGGTCCCTCTTCGCCTAGGGGCCCAGGCTCGGGAGGCCCCACTGGCTGGGCAGGGTCAGACGAAAGAGCAGGGGAGGGGGGGCCGCGGCCGCCCCAGAACGTTCCAGAACGGCTGAATTAAGGGCGCTATGGAACGCCCCGGAGCGACTCGTCTTCCCCCTAGGCCTGCCCGATTAGACCCATCCCCATCCCCACTTGGGAATCATTGGCCCTGCTTTCCGATCTGGCCCCCTACGAAGTTTAGGTCGGACACAACAAAAACAATCGAAAAATCGTCCCCTGACTATTTTCTGACTATTCTTGACAATTCCTCCTGTAGCGGGACAGGCCCAACTTACGATTAGACCTATCCGCATCCCCACTCGGGAATCATTGGCCCTGCTATCCCATCCGACCCCCCACCACTGAGTGCGGACAGTTGCCGCCTCCGTTGTGTGTTCGCGGCGTGCACCCCCCCACCTCGAGGGGGGCAGGCTGGCGGCGCCACGGAACCTGGGTCCACTGGGGATGGGGAAAGGTCTGACGATGCTGCGAGCAGGACCAGGGCGAGGCGGAGGATGCAGAGAAGCAGCACGAGGAGGACGCCGACGTCAGACGTCGTGGGGAAACGACGAACGACGACGCCGTGAAGGAGTCAGGGCCCGAGCTCTCGAGCTGGGTCGATCTGCGGGGGTCTGGATCAGTCAGCATCGAATCGGTAGATCGGGACGAATCGACATGTGCATCGGATAGGGCTGCAACGGCACCGGGCGTCGAAATCTAATCAGTTCGGCTGCGCCAGGATACACAGCAGCCTCGTGCAAGCATCGGGTCGCACTGGGTCGCTGGAACAGCAACGTAAAAATCGAACCGGATCGATCCCGGCGAACTCGAGCTCGAACCGGATCGACAGAATCGAGATGGGACCTCGGGGCTGCCCATGGGGGCCGAAACTGGGGCCGCAGGCCTGGGACATGAGGGTCCTCCTCCTCCTCCTCCTCCTCCTCCTCCTCCTCCTCCTCCTCCTCCTCCTCCTCCTCTCCTCCTCCTCCTCCTCCTCCTCCTCCTCCTCCCTCCTCCTCCTCCTCCTCCTCCTCCTCCTCCTCCTCCTCCTCCTCCTCCTCTTCCTCCTCCTCTTCCTCCTCCTCCTCCTCCTTCCTCCCTCCTCCCCTCCTCCTCCTCCTCCCTTCCTCCTCCTCCTCCTCTCTCTTCCCCTCCTCCCCCTCCCTCCTCCTCCTCCTCCTCCTCCTCCTCCTCCTCTCCTCCTCCTCCCCTCCTCCTCCTCCTCCTCCTCCTCCTCCTCCTCCTCCTCCTCCTCCCTGGGGGCCCACATCCCCCGCCTGCCTCCTCGCGACCGCCCGGAGTACCCGGGACCTCCCCCCCTCCCTCGGAGGCGGCCGCTCGCGCCCCCCTGCAGCGCGCCACGCTCTGGGACCAGCACTCGACGAGACGCGCCGCCAGAGAGCAGCCCCCCCCGCTTGCCATCGCTCGGGAGTCCATTCCCGTGCAGCTTTCGTTGTCGCGCATGTTTTTTTGTTTCGCAATGGCGGAACTCTTCCACGTCCGAGCGCCCTCCCCCATCCACCCTTCGCGCCGCCGCCCTCGTCTTAGCCTTTTTCTCTTGCACGCCGGGCAGTTTGCCTATTGGTTGCCCCGATTAGCACCACGCTGGTGCGGATTGCCTCTGCCTCGCCGCCTACCTTCGCCTTCTCACTTCCCCCCCATCGCTCGCCGCCGAGGGACACGGCTCCAGGGTCTGCGCTCACGGCAGCCGGCCAACTGCAGACTCCAGCCGGCGGAACTTGACGAGCGACCGCAGCCCGCCGCCGTCCATTCTGCCGAGCAGCTCTCGCGCCCCCCGGCCGTCGCCGGCAGCAACGTGCGCCTCCAGAAGGTGCTGCTGGAGGTGCGCGCTGGGCTGCAGCCCCCTGCCCTCCACCTCCGACAGGATCTGCCTGCACCGTTCCAGGTTGCGCACGTTGCAGGCGGCCAGTATCGTGTACGATGGGACGTCTGGCAGGATCCCATGGGCGAGCATGCTTGCAAAGACGCCGTCCGCCGTTTTGCCGTCGCCGCCGCGCGCGCATGCGGACAGCAACGTGGTGAAGTGCATGATCCCTGGTCTGACGCCGTCCTCGAGCATCTGCATGAACAGCCTATAGGTGCTGGCGTAGTCCCCGCCGCGGGCAAAAGCCGACATCACTGTCACGTAGGACGCCTGCCTGGTCTTCTCCCCCGCGGCCTCGAACATCTCACGCGGGATGCTCTGGAACACCTCCTGCGCGCGCTCTGGCTGCGAGGTCGTTGCGTACACTTTCAGGAGCGAGTTGTAGGTGATCAGGTTGGGTTCGACGCCCGCTTCCTCCATCGACCGGAAGAGCTGCTCGGCGTCGGATGGCCGCAGGCATCGCGCACATGCTTCGAGCATGACCGAGTAGTCTATCACTGACCTCTCCCCTGGAGGCATCGTGTGCCACACACCCCACGCGCGCTCTATCCAGCGAGCCTTGGCGCAGAGCGTCAGGGCGGCGTTGGTAAGCGCTGCGTGGGGCGCCCCCTCGTGCGATACGTAAACCTCCCAGCCAGCATCGTACTCCCGCCGGCTGGTGCAGGCGACCACCTCCCTGACGCGAGGCTGGAGCGGATCATCGGAGGCCATCCGCCTCTCCCGCAGCGCCCGCTTCTCGCGCTTGTCGTGCGTCGTGTCTGCCACATTCCTGGGCCCAAGATCGGCTTTCATCCGCTCCTTCATCTCCTGGGCACTGATGGTAGAGGGACAAAAAACGGCATAAACGTAAACTTTTGGCCGTCCGCGCGGATCTCTTGGATCTGAGCTGGACCCCCCTCCCTGGCGCGCGGAGCGCGCCAGGGGCGGCGCCAGAAGCGCCGCCGGGGCGCTCCGGCGCACATCCAAGAAATCCGCGCGGAGTGCCGCAAGATCTGATGCCTCTGGCGTTTCCTCTTCCTCGAGGGCAGAAGAAGAGGAAGCTACACGATCAGACCTCTCCGAGGCCCGCGTGGGGCTCCTGGCTCGGCGCTGGACCCCCCTGGCGGCGCCTCCAGCGCCAGGGAGGGGCTCTCGCGCGCCCAGCGCCGACGCGAGAAATCCGCGCGCACGCCCGGCCATCTAGCGCCGCTCCTCCTCCCTCGCATGGAGACCGCCCTGCTGCCGCCCGGCACCGCGCGCGCGAGCCGCTGGAGGAGGCCCCGCGGGCACGCCAGCCGGCGGAGACCCGCCGGCGACGCCATGGGGCTCCCGCCGGGCCCCCGAGGCCGCCGTGGCCCAATGGGCGTGCGCCAACACGGCTGCGGCAGGCTCGTGTCGTGACGACCTGGGCGTTGGTTCGGTTCGGCTGCGGTCAGACCTGGGACAGAAGAACATCCCTCAAGAACATGAAGCCCTCCGCGGGCCAAAACGCCCAGAACCATGAGATCACTCGAGGGTATCTTCCACCAGGATGCACAAGAACATCCAACAAACACGAAGAACATTAGGGCACCCTCCCCGAACCGACCTCGATCTTGCACCTCGGCCCAGTCGGCTTGCGCCAGCACGACTAGTTTTAGGTCGGGCATGTCCTCCTACAAGCGCATGCCTCCAGGCCCAATCAACATGGCGGCCAAACCTCGCCGACCCCGAACCCGGGAGCAAGTGTGCACCTGCCGGCATGTGAAAGCGATCTGGGAAACGATGAAGACGCGTGCCGACAGGACATGGAAGCAACGAGCCATCCGAAGCGAGAGGGTGCTTCACGATGCCGGCGCCTGGCGGGACCAGAGGGCCACGCAACCCTCGATGAGGCACATCCAGGCTTAGGTCGGGCATGTCCTCCTACAGCCAGACTTTGGAAGAAACAAGTAAAGAATCCACAAATAATCAAGAGTAGTCAAAAGGGCACGGAAAATCGTCCCCAGACCATGTTTTTACCATTGCCTTCTTGACTGTTCCTCCTGTAGAGGGACGTGCCAACACGGCTACGGCAGGCTCGTGTCGTGACGACCTGGGCGTTGGTTCCTGACACCGCGGGGATCGTTCAACCTTGAACGATCGGCCGCTTCCGAAACGCCTGATCGTTCAACACCGACCAATTCTGGGTCGCCGGCGGCGATCAACGCTGAACGCCAGCGGCGAGGTCGCTGCCGGTCGACACGACGCGAACCTACAGTAGTTGTGGCAGGAACCCTCTCCGCCGACGTCGCCTTTGGTGACGTCGGCCCCCCGGGGATCTCGACCCTCTCCCCGGGGGCCGGCTTCGCATCCTGAGTCGTTTTCTGACGGTCCTGGCGCCCCAAAAGTGGTGCCCAGAGGCCGGAAACGTCCAAAAACCTGCTGTTGCGGCTTCTCTGGCGTCGCCCAGATCTGAGGGAGGAGGACGAGTAGGAGGAGGAGGAGGAGGAGGAGGAGGAGGAGGAGGAGGAGGAGGAGGAGGAGGAGGAGGAGGACGGAGGAGGAGGGAGGAGGAGGAGGAGGGAGGAGAGAGGAGGAGGAGGAGGAGGAGGAGGACGACGACGACGAGTACCAGAGCGAGCCCAAGAGGCATCGAGGGTGCTGCTATGCACCCTCCCGCCTGAAGCCCCCCCGTCACGAGCCCCTACGATCATTCCTCCCTCTTCACTACACGAAACCCCCCTCCAAAGACCAGCACCCCATGGACCTGCCATTCAAGCGAGATCTTCGTTGTTGAAAAAATGCCACTAGTGTGCAATTTTACACTCACGGTCGCGAACTTCCAGGAAGCCTCACGCGAGAGCCCCAGTTTGAAAAAGAACCGCCTACCTTTGTGCAGCTGATACATATGTTCAAGCTTCTGGCCGTCAAATTCACGGAAGTCTCAAGCGAGAGCCCCATTTTGAAAATGAACCGTCCTGCATTCCTGTAACTGTTGCAACCTGTCAAAACGAAGGTACGCGGCGCTAGGGCGACAGCCCCGAGTTTTAATGGAGCCACCCTCCATGTTCGTAACTTCTGCATCTGTTTGAGACGACAGCTCACGGCGCTAAGGCGAGAGCTCCATTTTGAAAACAACCCCTTCCATCCTTGTCATTGCTGCACACAGGTAGGAACGGACGCGCGCGGCGCATATGCCAGAGCTCCATTTTGAAAACGAGCCCATGAATTCTTGAAACTGCTCTTAACGCACAACGCTGCGGCAAGGGTAACGTGTTGAGAACGACCCCCCTCAATCCGTGTAACTGTTGCAGCTCTCGAGCTTCAGGGTCATAAACTGTGAGGAAATATCGGGCGAGACGCCCGGCCCGCCCTACTGACACATCTAGGGGTGTGACACGGAAGGCGTATCTCCAAGGAAAAAACAAGAGGAGGAGGCGAGGGGGGGGAGGGGAGGAGGAGGAGAGCTGTAGTGCAGCGCTGATGCAGATATCACCCTGGTTGTCTTGGGTGGGGCACCCGGGCTCCCCCACACTTGTAGGTCGGTGCTGGCGAAGGTTGGGAAGTTCCACCTTATATGGAGTGGTACAGCGTACCTTCAGACTGCACCCATGGAGGAGGAAGAGGAGGAGGAGGAGGAGGAGGAGGAGGAGGAGGAGGAAGGGGAGGAGGCAGGTATATGAGGAGGGAGGCAAGAGGAGGAGGAGGAGGAGGAGGAGGAGGAGGGGGAGAAGGAGGAGCGGAGGCAGCAGCCTCCGTAGCCGCCCCCCGCTCAAGAGACCCGCCCCTGCTCTGCGGGTCGTGCTTGCGCCCTGTCTGGCTGCACCCCCGCAAGTGCCCACCACACATCCTGTGGCAGCCGTTCCGTGCTGACGTCCCCTCAGCATGAGGTCCCTGGAGGTCCCCAGTGGGCCTCACGAGGCTCAAAAACCTTTGGAAAGGCCCAGAAGCGTCCAGAAACATCCATGCTCTGTCCTCCGCCTCCTCCTCCTCCTCCTCCTCCTCCTCCTCCTCCTCCTCCTCCTCCTCCTCCTCCTCCTCCTCCTCCTCCGAACTCGCGACTCTCCGACTCCGACTCGACTCCGATTCCGACTCCGACTTCCGATTCCGACTCCGACTCGACTCCCGACTTCCGATTCCGACTCCTCCTCCACCTCCTCCTCCTCCTCCTCCTTTCTCCTTCCTCCACCTCCTCCTCCTCCTCCTCCTCCTCCTCCTTCTCCTCCTCCTCATCCTCCTCCTGCTCCTCCTCCTTTCCCCCCCTCCTCATATGCCTGCCTCCTTATCCTCCTCATACACCTAACTCGTGCTCATCATAATCGTCAACACCACAATCACCATCACCATCACCATCACCATCACCATCACCATCACCATCACCATCATCACAACCAGCATCAGCAACAGTAGCAACAACACAACAACAACAACAACAACAACAACAACAACAACAACAACAACAACAACAACAACAACAACAACAATTACTAGCACGTGGGGACACTCCGTTCTCACCAGTGCCAGGGTTTTCATAGGAGGCGGGCAATACCCCCACTTTGTGGGGGGGCCGGTTCAAGCTCTACCAAATTTCCAACGACTCTTCGCCCACCCACACCCAGCTTCCCGCCCTATGACGTTCGGACACTTTCACTTCGTGGCATGCGGACGACCGTGGCTACTATTCAGGGCCCCGCGGCCGACGACGACGGCGTGCGCGCGCGAAGAAAAAACGAATGTGTCCCGCATGGTATTATTTGACAGGGATGATGGCCCTGGCAGGTGCGCAACCGTTGTTGCAGAAGTTCGAAAAAGTTGCTCGCAAAAGCCCGTTTGACAGAAATGTTTAAAAAGTGTTGGGTTTTCCTACGAATCCGCAAGAGCGCGCGGGATGAGATTTTGACATTTTTATATATATATATTATATATATATTATTATATATAATATAAAAAAAAAAAAAAAATTTTTTTTATTATGTTTTTTTTTATGTTAAAATCGCTACGAAAACTAAGGTTTTGGAAGGATTTCGTCTTGCGCGCGCGAATGTCCACTTTACCATTTTTTGCAAGGGATTCTTGAAGTTTGGTTATGTTAGAACAAGAAATGTAATTTTATATTGTTTTTTGCAAGGGAAAGCGGGGGGGAACAAAACAACCGGATCCGGACCAACCCGTTTTGCCTGAGACTTCCTCACGAAAATGATGAAAATGTGGCTGCGGCCTAGGCGCGGCGAGGGGGCCGTGCACCAGGGGTCCCAACAACAATTATTCTTTAGAAGTAATAATGTTCAACAACAACAACAACAACAATACCAATAACAACAACAGCAACAACAACAACCACAACCACAACCACAACAACGACAACAACAACAACAACAACAACAACATTAACAACAACGACAACGACAACAACAACAACAACAACAACCACAATAACAACAACCACAATAACAACAACACCAACAGCAGCAGCAGCAGCAGCAACAGCAACAGCAACAACAACAGCAGCAACAACAACAACCACAACCACAACCACGACAATCACAACGTCATCCTCATCAGCATCATCAGCATCATCATCATCAGCCGCATCAGCATCAGCATCATCAGCATCATCGTCATCAGCAGCAGCATAATCATCATCATCAGCAGCAGCATCATCATCAGCATCATCCTCGTCGTCGTCAACACCATCATCAACATCAGCATCAGCATCAGCAGCCTCATTATAGTCGTCATCATCATTACCATCATCATCATCGTCATCATCATCAGAATCATCATCGTCGTCATCATCAGCAGCATCATCACGACCACCACCACCATCATCATCAGAATCATCATTATCATCATCGTCGTCGTCGTCATCGTCGTCATCGTCATCGTCATCGTCGTCATCATCATCACCCTGATCATCATCGTCATCGGCAGGAGCAGAAGCAGGAGCAGGAGCAGCATCAGCTTCAGCATCAGAATGATCACCATCAGGAGCAGCATGATCATCGTCATCATCACCATCATCATCATCATCATACTCATCATCACAACCGCAATCATTATCGTCTGCAGCAGAATCATTTATCATTATCATCATCCTCAACAGCAGCAGCAGTATCAGCATCGAAATCATCATCATCATCATCATCATCATCGTCGTCATCCTCCTCATCATCATTAGCATCATCATCAGCAGCAGCATCATCACTATCATCATCCTTACCATTGTCATCATCATCATCATCAGCAGCATCAGCATCATCATCATCATCATCATCATCATCATCATCATCATCATCAGAATCATCATCACCATCCTCGTCCTCGTCCTCATCCTCATCCTCATTTGTTTGTTGAGAGAGAGAGAGAGGAGGAGGAGGAGGAGGAGGAGGAGGAGGAGGAGGAGGAGGAGGAGGAGGAGGAGGAGGAGGAGGAGGAGAAGGAGGAGGACATGAAGGAGGAGGAGTCGGAGGAGGAGGAGGAGGAGGAGGAGCAGCAACGGCAGCAGTCGGGCCTGCGTCCACCCGACTGCGTAGTCCACCCCAGAGGCCGACCGGCAGTTGAACGGCACCGACTCGCCGTTCTCGCGGCCGGCGGCCGCAGAGGAGAAGGACGAGGAAGGAGGAGAGGAGAAGGAGTAGGCCAGAGGGAGCCCGGGACAGGGAGAAACCCCAAAGGCACCCGGAAAAGAAGAGATCCGCTGGCTTGTGCAGCGACGGCCGAGACCGTGACATTGTAGCGATGGGCCAACGCCACATCCTGCACGTCAAGATCAGGGACAGCATGGCCGCCGAACATGAATATACGAATGCTACCTATGAGTGATTTCGGCAGCTTGCTTGACAGAGGAGCCAGCATGTTCGGAGGTAACACCTGGGAGGTCTTCGCGGGAACGAAGAATACCAAGCCCGATAAGTGGCCAACGGCGCTGAAGGCTATGATCATTGAGATCTTGATCATGCAAGCCACGGTGCGTATCTGTGACGGTGGTGAGAGAGATGATGACATGATGACTATCTGTGCGCGACAGCTGCGCGTGATGCGCGTGATCCGGCCCGTGACCCGCAGAAAGAAAAGCAGGTGTTCCCTGCCATCCGTCCCCCTTGACCAGATCACATAGACCCCTTGCTTCTTTCAACTCGAATCACGGAGCCGATCACAGATCACAGGAAGTAGCCTGCGGCGACTGCGCACGCGGCGGGGAGTGGCCGTGCCGACGGCGCTGCGCTTAGAAACCCAAGCCGTGCGCCCCATGGCCCGCACTCGCATCGGGGCGAGAAGACCGACGAAGAGGCGCGGCGCACGAAGGCTGCCCCCGTGCGCGCGCACCTGCACGCAGGCGAAGAAGCCACGGCGTGCTACAGTCGGGGCCTTGACCTAAGGAACCCAAAATAAGGAACGAGGCCCCTTTTTCCATAAGTTAAACTCCGACTTCCGATCGAAAACATAAAGAAAATCTCAGGCAAGCTGCGAAACACATAAGGAACGCGGAGCCAATCCCCAACGAAAAGGGTTCCTTCTTCAGGGCCCCGACTGTACAGTGGAGGCCAGTCCACAAGAAGCCTTCCACGAGAAATCCAACCCTGAGACCCCAGGACGTGCGTTGACTTGTGGTGTGGGAACGTCACGCTTTCCATCGCAAGCCCATCGAAACCCCCCAAAAAACAGGGCACCCTGGAGGCAGCAGGGTGTTTCTTGGCATGGGCCTCCACTGTACCCTCCTGAAGAGAGAAACTGGACGTAAGTGGCCACGGGGTTCAGAGAACACGTCGGGGCAGCATCGGAGTTTTTCTATAGGACTGCGCGGTCATGGTGGTGAAACCAAGAGGTACCGCTACCGTTACTCCCCAGACCTCTCCCGGGGCGCGTTCTGACCAGGATTTCGAAGCGAATCCAGCGGTGGCGACGAGGGCCCCCCAGGAGGCCCACAGAAGGGAAAACGGGCGAAGGGGGGGGGGGGAGGTATGGGTACCTTTCCTCCTCCCATGGGCAGCATCGGAGTCTTTCGGGGACTGCGTGGTCGTGGGGTCCTCTTCCTGCGGCGGCGCCAACCCCCTCCCCCAGGTCCAGTGTGGAACCGAAGAGCCCCCGGCGCGGCAGCCGCCCCGCGAAGGTTCAATACTTTCGACGGGGGCGGGGGCCATCTGCGGAAGCAGTCTGCCAAAATGTCCTTCGGCAAGGCCGCATGGAGCCAGACAGTTTTTCCGTCGGCAGCGCGGCGGGACGATCCGCTCCAGCGTGGCAGCGATGCAGGGGCACTACAAAGCGAATTGGCCGGCGTGCAGGAGGAGGGAAAAGAGGGCAGGGCGGCCGCGGGGAGGGAGAGGAGGCACGAAGCCAGACAGGCAGGCCTCGGAAGAAATTAGCGAACACTCATGCCACATTCATGCGTCAATGTCCCCCCCCCAATGATCAATGTTGGCGGTGGGTTGGATGCGTGGCACTTCGACCGCAATCCCCCCCGCGCGTGCCAACTTCGAGTTTTGGGGGGGCGGGAAATGTCCACTAACAGTTTTCCCTCTACCGGTAAAGCCTGATGAAAGCCAGATCGAACCAGACTGAGCGGGGTAGAGCTGGTTTCAGCGGAACTCAACTGGAGGAGGACGGCATTCGACAGCAGACGTACCAGCGCGCCGATCAGGCTTTGCAGCCGAGAGCGTTGGGGTGAACCCGATGAAGATTCGGCTGTGTTGGTTATCATGCGAGGCCGAAAAAAGCCTAGACCGCGTAGTCGCTGAAGTCCTTGGCGCTGTTGGGCGCTCCTTGGGAAGCCTTGGGATGTTCATGAACCTGGGATTCGAGGGTGCACCGTGCTCAGGTGTCCACGACCTTTCCCGCCCAAGACTACCCCAGGACCCCGCAAGAGGCTTCCCAGAGACCCCCCGAGGCACGATGGCGGGATGGGCCGCATGCCACTGGACTACAAGGCAGAAGCGCCCTGTCGAGCTGCGCCATCTGCCCAAGCAATGCGAAGGGCGGTCACCACCAAGGGAGCCGCCACCACCTCCAGAAAAGGCGTCTGGAACCTGCTCGATCCTCGATACTCGATTGTTGCCGCGAGGTGGTGGCCCCACTAGTGGGGACTGGCACTGCCCGATCTGCGTCTGCTGCATGAGCGGCTGTGGAGGCCCCAGGGACTCTCCCGGGGAGATCTGACCTGAATACCTTTAGCCCCGCCAGCGTCGGCGGGCCCGCGGGCTCGCCGATGTCGAGATGCCAGCGTGTCGACCCCTCCAACACGAGGCCCTTTTCCGGAGCGCTCTGCCTCTGCTTGCTATCACCGTGTTGCGCGTTCTGCACTGGCTACTCCAGATTTCGTAATAAAGGGAGGGGGGTCTCGTTTCGGGGGGGTCTCTTCCAGGGTATCTTGGAGGGCCTGGGGGGGTCTGGGGGCGATGTTTTGGAGGGTTCTCCCGCGGGGGAGCTCTGAAATGGCTTGTCTTGGAGGGTCCAGACCCCCTCCCTTTTATTACGAAGTCTGGAGTAACATTGACTTGGTTTAGCGCACGCGGGGCCGACTCCTCTCGTGGCGCTCGACGACGAGGCATTGCTTGCCTTGACGACAGCGAAACTCTTTGCTTTCCTGTTCAGTATCCTCTTCCCTCCACATCATCATCCTCTTCCACAGTCCTCCTCGTCTTCCTCCTCCTCCTCCTCCTCCCCTCCTCCTCCTCCTCCTCCTCCGGAGGCCGCCCAAACGGGGTCCGATAAGATGGTGTCGGAGGATCGAGCATCCGCACCGCCATCTCCTCCGCCACCTCTTCCTCGCCAAATTCGAGCCCGTTCCGCAGCCGCGCGGGCCCGGACGCCAAGCGGGCCCTCTGGGGGGGGGACCCTCAAGCAGCAGCGGCACGCTGGTGCTGCCGCGCGCCCGCCGCCGCCGCCGCCGCGACCAGCCGCCGCCGCCGCCGGCCGCCACAAGCCCGCCGCAAGGCCGCCGCAAGGCCGCCCGACAAGGCCGCCCGACAAGGCGCGACCGCCGCCGCCGGCCGCCGTCGCCCGCCGTCGTCGGCGCTGCGGCCAGCGGGCGGCGCGCGGGCGGCGCCGTGGGGCGGCGCGGGCGCGCGGGCGCGCGGGCGCGGGTAGGGCGTGCGGGCGGCGCCTCCGCGAGCGTCGGGGCGGGCGTCGGGGCGGGCGTCGCGGGCGCCAGGGTCGGGGCGGGCGTCTCTGCGGGCATCGCTGGGGCCTCGAGGGGGAGGGTGGGCAGCAGCAGCAGCAGCAGCAGCAGGACGGCGGCGGCGGCGGCGAGGAGGTGAGGGGAGAGAGCGGGGATCAAGGCAGGCGGCAGGGCGAGACGGGGAGGCGAAAGGCGGCAGGAGGGCGGCGAGGATGCGAACGAAAAGAGAGTGCAGGAAGGTGGCCATAAAGGGGCCCCTGAGGGGCCCAAAAACTGCCACCACGGCCCCCGGCAGGGGCTGAAAGGCGCGCCTCGCTTCACTCCGCCCTCACTTGAGCGACGAAAGCAAACGGGCCGCACGCGAGATGGCATGGCGCCCTTGCGCCGCGGCATGCGCGCGCCGCCAGCGCGGCAGGCGGAACTGGACGCGGGGGCGACGACGCGCGACCTTACGCGGGCAGCGGAATACACGCGCAGGTCCGCGCAGCCGATCCCGTTCTTGTGCGCCGCTCGCTTGTTGCCCCACCGCTGCCGCCCGCCCGACTGGAGACATCGACCCCCTCCCCCCGGGGGCCGGGCTCTCAGCCCGAGCCGCCTTCTCTGACGGCCCCCCGGGGCCAGCCGGGCGGCCTCTGGAGGCCCAAAGCCCCCGCCTCCCCCGAAAAAAGCTCGACGAGAAACCCCGCCACGACTCTCCTCTGCGGGCGGCGCCCCGCTCGGGGGGCCTCCCTCTGGAGAGGTGGGGCCTCGCCCTGCCCCGAGCTCCGGCGTCGCGGCAAAGAACCTGCGGCACCGTCGACAGGCCAGGATGTGGAGCCCCAGGGCCCCAGCTCTCTGCGGCACCCACTGGAGCCGGCTCGACTCGACCCGGGAGAGTCCGAGCGCCCGAAGGTCAGCGAAAACGCCAGGTGTGGAACAACAGCAAAAAATCAGCTGACGTCAGGGCCTCACAGGACGACGACGACGACGACGACGACGACGACGACGACGACGACGACGTCCTCGGCCCCGACCGAGGCGCGGGCTGGCGTCGTGGTCGTCGACGGCGTCGGCGCGGGGTCCAGCTCGGCCTGCGATCCTGCGGCCAGGGCGGCGGGACGGGCCGACGGAGCCCCCACGGCCATGCCCAGGCCGCGTGGCTTCGCGGGTCGCGCGCCGCGGTGCGAGACGCGCGGCTGTCTTCGCGCCCTCGCGCCGCCGCCCTGCGGACTCCGGCCCGGGCCGAGGTGCGCGAAAGGCGGTGTTGTCTCTGCGCCCCCGCGGGTGACCCGGAGCACCCCATCCAAGGCGGACGCGGCCGCAAGAGACCCTCGCAAGGCACCCAGCCCTGAAAGTCCGGGTGCGCGACGCAGCCGGAGGGAAAGCGGAAGCCCAGGGCACCTCGAATGCGGCAGCGTCTGGACGCCCACGGGAGGCCACCGCGCAGCGCGCGAGGAGAAACACGAGGCGCCCTGACGAGAAGCATCCGGATGGAAGGAAGGGACAAGGGGAGAGAGGAGAATGGAGCACGAGGGAGAATAGCAGGAGGGGGGCTCGGAGCAGAAAACACGTGGCAGAACCAGACGGGCAGAGCGGGCGGGTAGACCCTATCGGGCGGGTCGGGAAGGCGGGCCGAGGCGGCAAGGTCGAGCAGGCGGGTTGCTGAAGCGTGCGTCCTACCTGAATCGCGAGGAAGTCTCGAGCGACAGCGCGATTCCCAAATAAATCATTGGGAAATCCACAACGGGAGCGTGATTCCTGAGTGTCGAAGGCGCGGCGTCTGAATAAATTGTGACGAAGTCCCACGCGAGAGCACGATTTGTATAAACTGCGCGGAAGTCTCGCGCAAGAGAGCGATTTGGGAATACGTTGTAAGGAAATGTTAGGCGGGAACCGTTGTTGCGGTTGTTGTACACCGGGTGGCACCTCACTTTCCCTTGTGCAAGAACAGGGTGCAAGCCCCGGGAGAAACACTTTAATTGAAACGTACACTGGTTACCGGAGAGGGTGGATCAACAACAATGATTCGTCAGAGGGAAAATTCAACAACAATTATTGTAAGACTGGTCGCTCCTATCTGCTCGCGTGCCACTCAACATGTATATTCCAAACCCTCGGTACCCGCCCTCATGGTCCTCGATCGTACCCCCTTGGGAGCATATCTTCCTTGCCTGTCACGCGCATTTAGTGCAGCCCCTGAAATGGGGGAAGATAAAACGGATAGAAAGGGGAGGGAGGAGCAGGGAGGAGGATGAAGCACGAGGGAAATTAGCGGAAGGGGGGCTCGGAGCAGAAAACACGTGGCAGAACCAGACGGGCAGATCGGGCGGGTAGACCCTATCGGGCGGGTCGGGAAGGCGGGCCGAGGCGGCAAAGTCGAGCAGGCGGGTTGCGGAAGCTTGAGTCCTGTATGAATCGCGAGGAAGTCTCAAGCGACAGCGCGATTCCCAAATAAATCGTGAGAAAGGCCACAGCGAGAGTGTGATTCCTGAGTGTCGGAGGCGTGGCGTTTGAATCAATTGCGCGGAAGTGCCAAGCGAGAGCGCGATTCCTGTATAAGTTGTGAGGAAGTGCCACGCGCGAGCACGATTTTGGAATAGATCGTGAGGAAGTATCAGGTGGGAGCCGTTGCTGTTGAAGCCAGGGGGCCAGGGGCCCAGTTTGAGCAGGAAGACTTTCCCTGATAAAAAAGTGCGAGCCCCGAGGGGTGCACTTCGATTGAAAAACCTAATGTACACCGGTGGAGGGGGGTAAACAATAGTTATTAATTAAGAAGAATCAGAATTCAACAACAACAACAACAACAACAACAACAACAACAACAACAACAACAACAACAACAACAACAACAACAACGACGACGACGACGACGACGGCGACGACAACAACATCAACATCAACATCATCATCATCATCATCATCAACAACAACAACAACAACAACAACAACAGCAACAACAGCAGCAGCAACAACAACAACAACAACAACAACAACAACAACAGCAGCAGCAGCAGCAACAACAACAACAACAACCACAGCATCAACAACAACCACACAACGCAACTGTTCCGTGGATTCTAAAGTTCGGCCCCCGCGCCTTCCCCACAGATAAATCCCTGTGGCCGGGGATAAAAAATAGAGGGGGTTAAGGGGGGGTACTTTATTATCGCCCGCACTCGGTTACCACAGCCACAACAACAACAACAACAACAACAACAGCAACAACGCCACGAGCATCATCAGTAGCATCGTCAATGTGATTGTGATCGTAATCGGCACCACCACCACCATCATCATCATCACCATAATCATAATCGTCGTCAGCAGTAGACGCAGCATCATCATCAACAACAGCAAAAACAGCATCCCTCCTCGTACTATTTTCCCATTACCTCGTGGTCGTCATCGCCCTCTCTTCTCCTCTTTTCTCTTCGCCGTCTTTTCTCCTCTCCTCCTTGCCTCCTCCTCCTACTCATCCTCTTCCTCCTGCTTCTCCTCTGCCTCCTTCTCCCTCTCCCCCTCCCTCACCTCTGGAAACCTCTGGGACCTGCGAGCACCCCTCGACGGCTTCCGACCGTGTGCTCGCGTGCATTGCCTGGCCCCCCTCTTTGACCCGGAGGCATACGACGACCCTCTGAAAATAATGGTTGTTTTTGAGACCCTGTCCGAGCGGAGGAGCGCGCGCAGAGGGTTGGAAGGGGAGGGAGGAGGGAGGAAGGGCAGGAGGAGGGAGCGAGAGGAAGGGAGGAGGGAGGATTTTCCTCGGAGGGAGGAAAGGGGAGGAGGGAGGGGAGGAGGGAGGAAGGGCAGGAGGAGGGAGCGAGAGGAAGGGAGGAGGGAGGATTTTCCTCGGAGGCCCTCCGAGGCAGAACAAACACTGTCATCTTGGCGGCGTCGAGCCGCAGCTGCCGCCTCCTCGCGCGGAGGAGGGAGATCCTCCCTCCCTCCCTCCCTGCCTCCTCCTCCGCCCCCCGGCCTGTCCAGGAGCGCGCTCGGACCAGGATCTCAGGGCGGCTACTGCCGATACGACTGTAGCCCCCCAGGAAGCCAAAACGGACAGAAAAATGTCCGAACCCTGGAGGGCCAATCCTCCTCCTCCTCCTCCTCCTCCTCCCCTCCTCCTCCTCCTCCTCCTGCCTCCTGCCTCCTGCCTCTCTGCCTCCTCCTCCTCCTCCTCCTCCTCCTCCCCTCCTCCCTCCTCCTCCCCTCCTCCTCCTCCTCTCCTCCTCCTCCTCCTCCTCCTCCTCCCTCCTCCTCCTCCCTCCTGCCTCCTCCTCCTCCTCCCCTCCTCCTCCTCCTCCCCCTTCCTCGCTCCCTCCCTCCCTTCCTTCCTCCCTCCCTCCCACACCTTCCTTCCTCTCTCCCTTCCTCTATCCCTCCACCATCACCTCCTCGCGCGACGGGGGTCCTCCGATATCACTCATCGGCGGGAGCCGGTACTGGAGCATCTTGTTGGGCGCGCCGTCGCCGGGGTGCTGCACAACCCTCGGAGACGACGACAACGACGACGACGACGAAGACGACGACGACGGCGGCGGCGGCGGCGGCGGTGGCGGCGGCGACGACGACGACGACGACGGCGCGGTGAGGACCACGACAGAAACAGCGACAACGGGATGACGGCGACGGCGGCGGCGGCGGCGGCGACGACAACGACAGCGGCGGCGACGACGAGGACGAAGGCAGCTGCAGCGAGAGCGGCGGCGGCGGCGACGCTCAGCGCCCGAGCAGAAAGACGGCCGGCGCGGTCCCGTTGACAGCCCTCGAGGCCAGGGCGGCCGCGACCTCCCTGGGCTGCAGCTCGGCCTCGCCCGCGCGAGCCCGCTCCTGGGGCGGCGATAGTTCCGACTCCGACCTCGACCTCGACCACGACCTCGCCCACGACCACGACCTCGACGACGACGACGACGACGACGACGACGACGACGACGACGACGACGACGACGACGACGACGGCGGCGGCGGCGGCGGCGGCGACGGCGACGGCGACGGCGACGGCGACGATGACGGCGACGGCGACGGCATTGGCGACGGCGACGGCGACGGCGACGGCGACGGCGACGGCGACGGCGACGGCGACGGCGACGGCGACGGCGACGGCGACGACGACGACGACGACGACGACGACGACGACGACGACGACGACGGCGACGACGACGACGACGACGACGACGACGACGGCGGCGGCGGCGGCGGCGGCGGCGACGGCGGCGGAGGCGGCAACAGCCAGCGGTGACCCGAAAGCAGAGAGTGGCCCTTGGTGTGCGGCTTTGGGTGGCCGCGGGGAGGGAGCCAACCCAAGGCGCGCAGGCTGGTGCTGAAGGGAAACCATGCGGGCCCTGGGGTCATCCCTCCTCCTCCTCCTCCTCCTCCTCCTCCTCCTCCTCCTCCTCCGCCTCCTCCTCCTCCTGCCTCCTGCCTCCCTCCCTCCCTCCCTCCCTCCCCCCCCTCCCTCCCTCCCTCTCCTCCACTCCTCCTCCTCCTCCACCTCCTCCCTCCTCCTCCTCCAACTCTCCTCCTCCTCCTCCTCCTCCTCCTCCTCCTCCTCCTCCTCCTCCTCCTCCTCCTCCAACTCCTCCTCCTCGTCCTCCTCCTCCTCCTCCTCCTCCTCCTCCTCCTCCTCCTCCCCCTCCTCCTCCTCCTCCTCTTCCTCTTCCCTCCTCCAGGCCAAGGGCCACTCCCAAGACATCCTCCAATACGTTTTGTTCCATCCGCGGCCCAGATGAAAGGCAACGATTAGGGGGGGTGGGGGGGCCAGCCCAGGGGGGGAACATCGACCTGGGATCGGCGGTACATCGCCGACAGATCGGCGAGAGGCCCGGCAGCGAATCCGCACGGTCCTGGGCGGGGTGGAGCTATCGGGCCCCTATCGGCGATGAATCGGCGATTGGTGGTCGATGCATCCCCACCTGAGCCTATCCCCCCTTGACGTTGTCCCTGACCAGAGCTCCCGACCCCTTCCCCAGAGCCAGCTTTTCGTCCCGGACCTATCCCCGGCCCCGAAAGGAGCCCCTTGACGCCAACATCTGGGAAAAACGCCAGGATTGAAAAAGCCACATCGTCGGAAGGCCGAGCACGAGCAGCATATGCTAAGAGGGCGCGGCGACCGAGGTCGGCGACGGCGACTTCGCTGCCGCCTCTGTGAGGCCTCTGGGCGCCCCTGTCGCCCAGGCTGGCAGACCCCGAGTCCAAGAGTGTTCTCACCTCTCGGGGGGCGCACCTCTACCGTCGCCAGCTTCTGCCTGCGGAGCCGCCCTCGCCTGAGCTCCGCCAGCCTTCCGCTGGCCTTCCGCCGGGCTCCTCTGGCCACGGCGAGCCTCGGCCACGAAGAAGCACCAAGAATTTGAGCAGGGACCGACTGTCCCGGCATTCCTATAGTCCTACCACGAAATGTTCTTAGAACCCAGAAATGTTTCAATAACATTTAACAATGTTCTTAGAACATAAACCCGATGTGATAAAACAAAACAGCCCCAACCAGAAATGTTCTAAGAACATTGTTTGAAGACTCTTCGCCAACTGCTTGAAGCATGCAAGCGGAACGGCGCCCTTGCCCCGCCCCCCGCGGCCCACTGCTTGGCACGCCGCCGAGCTCCCAGAGCACCATCGCCACGACTCCTCGGGGGGGGGGGGGGCGCAGCGGCAGGCCGGGCGTCCCCGCCCCTGTCTGCGTCGCCGCCGCCGAAGTCGTCCTCCTCGTCGTCGTCCTCCTCCTCGTCCTCGTCCTCGTCGTGCATCCCCACCTCCTGCTCTTCCTCCTCTTCCTCCTCCTCCTTCTCCTCCTCTTCCTCCTCCTCCTCCTCCTCCCCCTCCCCCTCCTCCTCCTCCTCCTCCTCCTCCTCCTCCTCCTCCTCCTCCTCCTCCAACTCCATCCGTTTGCTTTTTATAAATAACTCCTCCATGTCGCACCCCGAAGCCAGTCGCAAGGGCGGGCCATGCGCTTCGCCTGAGTCTTCCTTACCACTTATGAGCCTCACGCTTAAAAATTGGCAAAAGCTTCACACATGGAGGGCAAGTCGTTTCCAAAATGTGGCTCTCGCCTTAGCGCCGCACTTGAAAATTGCAAGCGCTCCACGGAATGAGGGCGGCTCCTTTTTCTAACTGTGACGATCGCCTTAGCGCCGCGCCAACTAGTTCTAAAGTGTTGCAAAAGCTTCACTAATTGAGGGCGGTCTTTTTTCAAAATGTGGTTTTCGCCTTAGCAACGCACACATTCGTTCAAACACATGTCCAAGCTCAACGGATTGAGGGCGGCGCGTTTTCAAAATGTGGCTCTCGCACTAGCGTTGCGCACAGTTGTTTGAAACGTGCCACTGATTCGAACGACTCAGACTTGTCAGGGCGAAACAGTTACGTTGATTCGCGGTGTCGAAATCCTAGGAATGGTGTTCTGGCACGATTCAGGATCGTCAAAACGTAACAGTAAAATAGACTCGTGGCGTTGAATTCCTGGGGATGGTGTTTTCTGACACGCTTCAGGGGTTTCACGCGGTTGTCCCCCAACGGTGCAGATCCCTGTAGACATGAACCCTTGCGGGGGCCTCTCAAGACGGAGTTTGGAGGGAGGGTGTATTCCAGCAGGGTTGCTGGCTCTTGAGTTCACACCGATCCTCCTCCTCCTCCTTTTTCTCCTCCTCCTCCTCCTCCGCCTCCTCCTCTGCCTCGGGGCCCGGTCAGCGCATCGGGATAGCGGGGGAGCCCCCGCCAGCGGAGCTGGCGGGAGGTCGGCGCCGCCCGTATCAGCGGGGTCCAAATGGAGCCGGCGACTAGCCGCTGAACTGGCGGAGGGCGGGCGGCGGGAGGGCTCCAGCGCCCAGGCCCCCTGAGGGTCCCTCCCCTGGGAGGGGGTGGAGTACTGGGTGGGGCGGGCCCGGGATGCCCCCCCGTCGCCAGGCCCCCCTGATTCGGGGTCCCTGTGGCTCGTCCTGATTATTTGGTGCCCCTCCCCCTCCCAGGGTCCCCTCGGGGAGCGGGCCTGCGCAGGCCCCCTCGGGCCTGCGACGCCGCGAGCGCCGCCCGAGCAGGCGCCAGCGCTTGCCACGGGCGGAGGTCTCCGCGGCGGCGCCGGTCGCCGGATCCGGGGGGCGCGGCTGGTGCAGGCGCTCGGAGGCGGGCCCCGCACGCCCCACTTCGAGGCGCGACGGCGCCCTTCGCCCGCTCGGAGAGCGCGAGGGGTGCAGGGGAGCGGGGGCCCGACTGCTGTCGCGCGGGGGGCCCCTGGCCCCCAGGGCGGTGCGCCGCGCGGCGCTTCCAGTGCGGCCCGCACCGCCCTGGGGTCGAGCGGCCATGGCCTGCCCTTTTTGTGGGGGCGGCTGGGGCCCGCGCGGGGCCGCCGCGGCGCGGGGCATCTATAGTGTTTGACCGTTTCTGTTCCTTGGGCGATTCCTCTTCGGGTAGGGGTGGCAAAGGCGCAGCCGCCACCAGCGGGCCTCGTTACGGCTGCATTGAGTTCACAAAGCCTTGGACGCACCATGCACTTCGTCCTCTTAATCCCTCTGCCTCGCCTCGGCATCAGCATCAGCATCAGCATATCATCATCATCATCATCATCATCATCATCATCATCATCATCATCATCATCATCATCATCATCATCATCACCACCACCACCACCACCACCATCAGCAGCAGCAGCAGCAGCAGCATCAGCATCATCAGCAGCAGTAGCCCCAGCATCAGCATCAGAAGCATCATCATCAGCAGCAGCATCATCAGCATTATCATCACAAGCATTACCATCGCCACCGTCGTCATCGTCATCATCACCATCAGCATCAGCGTCAGCATCATCACTACCACCACCATCGCACCGTCCTAATCAGCATCATCATCATCAGCATCATCAGAATCAGAATCAGAAACAGCATCATCAATATCGTCATCATCAGAATCCCCATCATCATCATCACCCTCATCTTCATCCTCATCCTAATCCTCGCCATCATCATCATCAACATCACCATCATCACTACCACCACCATCACCATCATCATCATCGTCATCTCCACCGTTATCAGTATCATCATCAGCAGCATCATCGTAATCAAGAAGAGCATCATCCTCATCAGCAGCACCATCAGAATCAAGATCAGCATCATCCTCATCAGCATCATTACCATCATCATCATCAGCAGCATCAGCATCATCCTCATCCTCATCGTCGTCCGCCGTCCCAAACCCCTGATCCTTGTCCTTCTCATCATGCTTATTCCATCATCATCATCAGCATTATCAGTATCATCATCATCATCATCATCATCATCATCAGCATCATCATCATCATCATCATCATCATCATCATCATCATCATCATCATCATCATCATCATCATCATCATCATCATCATCATCATCATCATCATCATTATCATCATCATCATATCTCCATTATCCTCCGACCCCTTGTGAGTCTCCAGGCGCGCGAAATGCCCTCCCCCATGACACACGCCCCCCCTCGGACCCCAACGAGCGAATTCCCCCGCCCCCCCTGGGCCCGCGGGCCCCCCGGCTGATGTCGTTAGGGGGTGTCCGAGCCTCCCTGGGTCCTTCGCGATGTTCCGGAACGGCCGCTGAGGTGCTCGAGGTGACTAAGAGAGCTCGGAAAGATTCCACTGCGGCTCCGAGGGAGCCCCAAGAGACCCTAGAGAAGGTCACGGACGCCTCCGAAACGGCCCACGACGCCTCCAAGACGCCCCGAGGGGCATCCACGAACACCCCCGAGGGCCCTAACAAGCAAACATCACTGATTTCCCCTAGGCATTCGAAAGATGTTCGCGTCCTCGCCTGTGCGTCATTCCTAGTTATCAATATCGTTCGCGCTGGTATTCTTAAGATTGATGCTATTAGTATGAGATCTACTCTGAAATAGCACTCGTAATACTCTCATAAGTGCCATTATGTTTCTCACTCATGCTGCTACTAGACCGAATTCTTCTCCCCCACGTGTTCCCCGAAAAGACTCCAGAGCGGCTGGGGGAAACACACATAGTCCGATAGCCGATAGCTTGGCCGAGCTCTGGTCGCAACGTTTGGCCACACAGGCGCTTCCAAAAGGCTTTGGACGGCGGTGCTTTGTCGTAGGCGCTTCCGAATAACAGGAATCTGCACATACATCAACAGGCAAGCACATGACAAACAAGAAACAAAGGGTTGGCGTCGCGGCCACACGCGCGGCGACGCGGTGCAGGGCAACTCAAAGCGCAGAGCGCGCGGACCAGGCCAGCTCCCGCAGCGTGGAAAAGCTGGATTCGCCTGTAGGGGGTCGACAGAAACGCTCGCGAGGGGTCAGTCGCGAGTGAAACGCGGGCAGGGGAAAGAGGGGGGGGAAAAGGGGGGAGCGACAGAGGGACAAGGAAGGAGCAGCGCACCAGTGACGGCCCAGGCCAGGAAGCGCGGCGCAGACAAATCCAGCAACAAACCACAACAAAATTACTCGACGCGGAGACCCCTTTACGCGCATGTATTTGCCAACGCCTTTCCCGCTGCGACTGTCTGCGCGCGCGAGACTCTAAACATGAACGGATGTGGGCACGAATGAACCCGAGTGAAGAAGCGATATGGCTGAGTCTGAGTGAGGAAGAGTAAATCTGAGTATGAGTAAATCTGAATAGGAATGAATCTGACTGTGAGTAAATCTGAATATGACTGGGTCTGATTGCGACTGAGACCAAAGAGATGTGAGTGAGTCTGACGATGAGTGAGTCTGAGTACGAGCGAATATGATGTGAACGAGTCCGAATATGAGTGAGTCAGAATAAGGGTGAGCGGGTCTGAGGAAAAGGGGGAGGAGGAGGAGGAGGAGGAGGAGGAGGAGGAGGAGGGTATGAAGTGCGAAGGAGGTCCGGAGGCGTCTGAATAACAATTACTCGACGCGAAAATCCCAATGTATCAATAGAAGCTCTGTCTATGAACATCCGGGTGTGAGAGCGAGTCCGCGTAAACGAAAGGCGCGGTAATAACGACGACAGCGACGATTTCAGTGACGTCATCCTCCTCTTCTTCTTCCTCCTCCTCCTCCTCCTCCTCCTCCTCCTCCTCCTCCTCCTCTGGACACTTTTCAGGAGAGACGAAGGGAACACAAGTGGACGAGCGAGGTGGAGTTCCTTTCGCTGTTCTCTCCGCAGCAACTCAGGCAACCGCGCATGGCGCTTCTACGCCCGTTATCTGGCTTGCTACTCGCTGCGCGTGCTCGCACTTGGGATGCCCAAGTGTCACGCCAGCTACATCGCGGTAACAATTTGCGTGTGAGCCGTATTGCGAGTGGATCTGAGCGTGGGTGGTCTGAGAATGAGCAAGTCGGAGTGTGAGCGAATGCGGGTACGATTGAGCCTGAGTGTGATAGTCAGTGTGAATACGAGTGAGTCTGAGTAAGAGTGAGTCTGAGTGCGAGCGAGTCTACATGCGAGCGGGTCTGAATGTGAGTGAGCCTGAATGTGGTGAGTCTGTATCTGAGTGTCATGAATACAAAGCTGACTACGAATGTTTGTGAATGAGCCTGGGTGCGAGGTAGTCTGAATATGAGTGAGTCTGAGGGCTGGTGAATATAAGCGCGAGTGACTCTGAGTGTGAATTGGCCTGGATGCGAGCGAGTCTGAGTTTGAGCGAGTCTGAGTACGAGCGAGAAAGTACGCGTGAGTGTGACGATGATCGAATATGAGTATGAACGGGTCTGAATGTGATGAGTGAGTCCGAGTGGGGCAGAGGTGCTAATGAGCAAGTCCGAGTGCGAATGAGTGCGTCCAAATAGAGAAATCAGGAAGGAGGTGAGCGAGTGAGAACCGCACAAATCCAAACAAAGTCTGGGGGAAGCAAAGAGAAGTAAACCGCCTGAGACAGACCCCACAGTCTGAGCACGAATCCTGAAGTGTCCCCACCCATGACGGCTCCGCATTGAGGTGCCCAAATGCCACGCCTGCTATATCGCGGTGAGCAATGGAATACCAAACCGAAAAAGTTGGGGGGGCAGCAACAGGCAAACCGCCTGATATATCCCCACAAACTGGACGCGAACCCTGGAGTGTCCCCACCCCTGGCGGCTCCCCCATTGAAGTGCCCAAGTACCACGCCTGATATATCGCGGTGGCACTGATGGTCCAAAAGAAACTTGGTGGGGGGGACAAAAACAATCAAACCGCCTAAAACACCCCCACAATCTGGACGCGAAGCCTGGAGTGTCCCCACTCCTGGCGCTCCCTCCCTGGGGGGACCAAATGCCACGCGTGCTATATTACAGTGAGCATTCGACCCCCCCCAAAAAAACTCTTGATGGTACAGGAACAGGCAAGCCGCCTGAGACATCCTCAAACCCTGCTTTGAAAGCAAAGGACGTTGGGCACGCAAACAGGCAAACTACCCGAGACATCCCCACAATCTGGGCGCGAATCCTGGAGTGGCCCCGGGCCCCCGCCTTGGGGTGCCCAAGTGCCACGCCTGCTGTATCGCGGTGAAGACCATCAAAAGACTAAGTCCGATGGAGGCAGGAACAGGCAACCCGCCTGAGACACCCTCAAAACGTGCTTCGAAAGCAGAGGGCGTACGTACGGCACGCAAGCAGGCAAACCGCCTGAGGCATCCCCGCCATCTGGGCGCGAACCCTGAAATGTCCCCCCCTGCCCCCCCCCTCCCCAGGAGTGCTCAAACCAGCGCCTCACCTGAGACATCCTCAGACCATGTTCCAAAAGCAGAGGGTGTCGGGCACGCAAACAGGCAAACCGACTAAGACCTCCCCACAATCTGGGCGCGAATCCTGAGGTGTCCCCACCTCTTGCGCCCCCCCCATGGGGTGCCCAAATGCCACGCCTGTGACATCGCGGTGGACAATGGACCACCAAAAGGAAAGTCTGGGGTGCAGGAACAGGTAACCCGCCTGAGACATCCTCAAAACGTGCTTCGAAAGCAGAGGGCGCCGGGCACGCAAGCAGGCAGGCAAACCGCCTGAGGCATCCCCGCAATGTGAGCGCGAATCCTGGAATGTTCCCACCCCTGGCGCCCCCCCCAAACCCCCACGAGTGCTGAAACCAGCGCCTCGCATGAGACATCCTCAGACTCTGTTCCGAAAGCAAAGGGTGTTGGGCACGCAAACAGGCAAACCGCCTGAGACCTCCCCACAATCTGGGCGCGAATCCTGAGGTGTCCCCACCCCTGACGCCCCCTCCATGGGGTGCCCCAATGCCACGCCTGTTTCATCGCGGTGAACTGTGGACCACCAAAGGAGAAAGTTTGGGGTGCAGGAACAGGCAACTCGCCTGAGACATGATCACGATGTGTTTGAAAGCAAGGGATGCTGGGCACGTAATACTCTGGGCGCGAATCCTGGAATGTCCCCACCCCTGGTGCCCCCCCCCCTAGAATTGCTGAAACCAGCGCCTCGCCTGAGACATCCTCAGAACCTGTTCCGAAAGCAAAGAAGGTTGGGCGCGCAAATAGGCAAGCCGCCTGAGACATCCTCACAATCCGTGCACGAATCGTGGAGTGTCCCCACCCCTGGCGCCCCCTCCACGGGGTGCCCAAGTGCCACGCCTGCCACGTCGCGGTGAGCAGTGGACCACCAATGAGTATGCGTGAGTCTGAGCCTGAGTATGAGCTGAGTATGATTGTCTGCTAGTCTGAATGTGAGTGAGACCGAGAGTGAGTGAGGCTAAGCGTGAGGAAGTCTGAGTGTGGGTGAGTCTGCGTGTTTTCAGTTTGAGCACAAGTGAGTCTGAGCGTGAGTAAGCTTGACTGTGAATGAGGCTGAGCGTGAGTGAGTCTGAGTATGAGTGAAATTGAGTGGGAGTGAGTCTGAGTGTGAGTGAGTCTGAGCATGACTGAGAATGAGTCTGACCGTGAGTGAGTCACTCTGGTTGGGGAAGAGGAGGAACAGAAGGAGTTGATGACAAGGTTCTCGGAACCGCCTGCGCAATACCAGGAAACCCTCTTGGGAGATGGGGACCGAGAACGCCATCTTGGGCGATGGGGAATGCCAAGAGGCCCCTCTCAAGACATGGGGAGCAAAACGACGAACCCGAATCATGTTCCACCACCAAAAAGAACAGCACAACCAAAACAGAACCGGCCGCGGAAGAGCCGCTGGAGGCCGGGCCGGGCCGAGTCGAGCCGACCAGCGGCCACCACCACCGAGGCCGCTTGCCGGCCGCGCCGCGAGGAGAGGCCGCGGCCCGCGCGCCTGCGACGTGCGGCGCGGCCATCGAGGTGCCGCTCATGACCGCGTGGGCGTTGTCCCGCGAGATCCCCGCGGACATGATGGACTGCGGCGGGGGGCGCAAGCAACCGGGAGGCGTCCGAGAGAGGGGCGCTCGAGAGGAGGGGAACCAAAAAAGAGCCCCTGACCCGCTGGGAGGGGACATAGGTGACGAGGGCCGAAAACATTAGGGATGGGAGGTCTTTCTTCAGATGTATCAGGCCAAACCGCCCAAATCTATGATCCCGAATGCGCAAACGGCGACCTCAGTGAGGCGTCTTCATCGTGCTAATTATTAGGGTTTGGGTTTTTTGGGCTCGATGAAGAGAGGGCCATAGGATCTGGGAGAAGTCGCGGCCCGGGCCATGATATTCACCCTCCCCCTCGTCATCACCCCCCTCTTGGCTGGCCCCGACACTCAAAGTGGAGGCGGCCAAGGGGTCTGAGCTGGATGCGGCCCAGGAAAATCGGTCAAGACGGGGGGATCAGGGTGCTTAGCTAGAGATCGTGAGGACAATAACGATCGTTCTGCTTGTCCTGCTGGCGGGATAGACACTGACCAGTGGGTGGGTGAAACGCCTCGCTCCCAAGCCGACAGTGGACTCTGCCAGCGTCAACTAAGGAGCCACCATGGCGCCCGAGGCGCACAGCATGCTTGCCCCCGACCCCCACTCTCTCCTGCTGCTGCTCCTCGCTGCCTCCTCCTCCCCACCCCTCCCCTCCCCCTCCCTCCTCCTTCTCCTCGTCCTCCTCCTCCCCCGCCTCCTCATCCTCCTCCTCCTCCTCCTCCTCCCCCTCCTCTTCCATTTCCTCTTCCGTCTCCTCCTTCTTTTCCTCCTCTTCCTCCTCCGCCTCCTCCTTATTCCCTCCTCATCCGTCACCTCCTCCACGTGGAGAGACCTCAGAGGACGGAGCCGTCTCTTCTTCTTCTTCCTCCTCCTCCTCCTCCTCCTCCTCCTCCTCCTCTTCCTCCTACTCCCGGTCCTCCTCCTCCTCCTCCTCATCATCATCCTCCTCATCTCCTCTTCCGCCTCTTCCCTCCTCCTCTCCTCCTCCTCTCCTCCTCCTCCTCCTCTTCCTCCTCCCTTTTCCTCCTCATCCTCCTCCTCCTCCGTCTCCTCCCTTCTCCTCCTCATCCTCCTCCTCCTCCGCCTCCTTCTCATCCTCCGCCTCCTCCCCTCCTCTCCTCCTCCACTCCTTCGTCCTCCTCTCCTCCTCGTCCTCCTCCTCCTCCGCCTCCTCCTCCTTCATTTTCTTTATACATAGCTTCTCCCTGTCGCACCCCAAGGCCACTTTTTAGGGCTGGCCGGGCGTTTCGTCTGAGACTTCCTCACCACGTATGACTCTGAAGCTGAAAAAATGACAACAATTTCACAGATGGAGGGCGGGTCGTTTCCAATATGTGGCTCTCGACTTAGCGCCGCGCACATTCGTTCAAAAAATGCATTCACGGATTGAGGGCGAATGGCTTTCAAAATGTGACTCTCGCCTTAGCGCCGCGCACACTCGTCTTACAAATGTGCAAAGGCTCCACGGACGCCGCGCACATTCGTTGCAACAAAAACAAATAAAAAGCAAAAGCTTCACGGATTGAGGGCGGTTCCTTTTCAAAATGTGGCTCTCGCCTTAGCGTCGCGCACATTCGTTCTAAAAAATTGCGAAAGTTTCATGGATTGAGGGCACATTGCAGGATCCTGCAAAATCCCGCAAGATCCTGCACCCAAACCCAGGTCAGTGCACCCCTGGCCCTGCAGGATCCTGCAAGATCTGGCGCTCTGGCTGACCCCAATTTGCATTGACCCCCGTCTCTTGACCTCCGATTAGTCTACTATTTCCTACTTCCGCTGGCGCTAGTGCGTGCGTGCACTACGAGGTGCGATCTCATAACGCCCACCGATCATGACGATCCCCGGGAGCCTGTACCAAGCAGCCGTCAGGGCCCCACCGGCACGGGCCGAGGTGCAAGCTCCCGACAAAAACAACGCCCACCTCAGCAGCGCCTGTGGACACGAAGCGACAAGAGCAGAGCAGAGGGACACCCACGCAAGGTGCTTGCAAGATGAACCCGGCGCGACCCCAAGTAGGGGAAAGCTTCCCGTTGCATGGGCGCAGTGCTTGGCATTGTTTGCTCGGCATTGCTTGGCATTGCTTGGCATTGCTCGGCATTGCTCGGCATTGCTCAGCATTGCTGCTTGGCATTGCTTCGAATTGCTTGGCATTGCTTGGA